CCTCACGAATTCCTGAACTTCTTGCTCCATGTGCGTATGAAAACCACTTGTCATGAGTTGCTTCCCCTGCAAAGCATACAACTGGTTTTTCACCAACCAAAAGTGGTTCGGCAATATCCGTTACACACGTTGCATGAGATTTGGTAGATAAGTAACTATATGCTCCGTGAACTAAAGGATCTGAACACCAAGATGTTATCTTAATTGAAGTTGGTTCCGGGATATCTTTGTCGCCCAAGTATTGTCGTAAAAGGTTTGTACATCTTTCTGCAATAGCGGTATCTGTAAGGGATTTAATCTGGTCAGTATCGTTTCCATAAATCCATATTAACAAAACATTTGAACAGGTTGGAATTTCCCGAATCCAGTATGCTGATTCGTATCCAGAGCAGATTCCCGTTGATCCACTATGTATGCTTTCTTGTGAAATAAAGAAACTGCCTTTCCCCTTGTTCCAAAACGGTTTTTCGTAATGAAGAAAAATTGCTTCAACTTTCCCTGATTCTAATCTTTCTATAGCTTCAATTTTAAGTTTTGGCAGTGGTGGTTCAAATAGTTGTTCATGGTTTTGCTTCAAATGACCAAGTGGACATGTAATGATCACATGATCAGCAACGTATTCGTCACCTGAGGTATCAAAATCACAATATATTTTGACCTCTTTGTTGTGAATACCACTATTCCACTGAATGCGGTTCACATATCGTTTGTATCTGACTGTGTTAACTGGAAGCTCATTCACTAAACTCTGCAAAACGCCAGACAAACCTTGTGGAACAGTGATATCGACGCCATCAATTTCTTTGCTTATGTGCAAGAGGTTGGCAGAAATAAATCTGGCCTCGTCCCCTGTAAACAAACTAAAACCTTTCATCAACGAATCAAGGACAGTTTGTATCTGTACGTTTTCATTTTCTTTTCTTTGATTAAGTTTCTGCTGAAAACGTATTTTAAAGTAATCTTCACAAGATAGCTGCTTACTGCAATTAATTTCTTCATCCAGTTCTCTCTCAATATCTTCAAATATTTCCGAGGCTTGTAGCACTATCTTACTATCTATCCTATTTCCACACTGCGTTAGCCAAGGGTCTTTCTTCCTGCAATGAGTTACTAGAAAATATTGTGATATACTACATCTTCGTTATTCAACTGTTGGAATTTGTCATAAAAGGAGGAAGTAACCACTGCTGACGAGGGTATGAAAGTCCGGCCAAGTGTTACAAAAGAAAGTTTTTATACATGTACACATAAAAAGGTGGGGGTCAATTCCCTCCCCCCTCCCGACTTAATTTAACATCAGGGCAATTTTCAAAAAGTCTTTCAATCTTTTACTTAAATCCAAGGTATCACAGCTCCATGTATGTACTTTATGTGTGGTTATCCAAATAATGTATAATATGGATATTCTTATCAAAACCTAGATTCTATTTAAACTTTAAAAGTAACGTTATATATTGTCTTTCGGATACAAAGGAGTAGGGACAATAAGGCTCTTATTTGGCCATAATATTACTTCAAATTAAAATAAACTTAAAAGTTATCATAAATATTCTTAAATTTGTCCTTACTAGACTAAGGTACAAGGTATTCAGAAAATAAAAACAAATTTCACATTTAATTAGTTACCATGGCAACAAACAATGACAAAATTTGGATATTAGTAAAATTTCTTGATTTTCCTTGTTTTTCATCAAATTTTCAGTATATTTTAGATTGGCAAAGTATTTGCGCATCCAAGAAACAACTTTATGTTTGGGCAGATTATGTCAATAGTTATGATAAAGCTTCTCTTTAAATTATTTTGTTTCTTGGATGTGCACGCTGTTTCCACAATGAAAATAACGATGGAAAACTGCATAAATTCTGTATTTTTCATTGTTTTCATGAAAACACTACATATTATGACGTAATTGTGATGCCATTAGATACAAAATATTATGATTTTCATTAATATTTCTTGATTCTATGCATATCCAAACATTATGTGTCAATTTGAAATAGGTGTAAAACATTTTATTTCCTTGGGCCAAAACCGGGCCTTTAATGCACCTACTCCTTTATTAATTTTGATTTTTTAACGTCCTTCAATGGAAAATTTTTAAAAAAGACAACTATCCACCAGGGTCACAATGGTGTAGATGAGAGCAAGTATAGGTCACCGTACGGCATCCAACAGTGAGCAACACATATATCGTATAGACATAAAAGGCCTGCATATAACAATATCTGAAACAATTCAAACGAGAAAGACAACAGTCCGCCCTCAAAATCCCTTATCAAGCACTATTGAGTCTATTTTGGAAAATATTTGCCAACTAACTCACCTCGAAGCGGTGCATTTTACGTCAATATCGCCATTCCGTACACCCGAATCGGGTAATAATTGAATAGAATACATACTAGCCTTTCAAAATCCGTTAAAATTTTGAAAATACCCCACGCCAAGGTCAAATGTGTTATCATACGAATATGAACAAATGAACAAAAGGATAGAAGGGTGAACAGATGAACGGACAAACAATCGAACAGACAGAATTTATACCATGCGATAGTAAAGCACATTCTTAAGAAGGGACGATAAATCCGCTGCCTCGTGGAAGGAAAGTGTTGTAGTGGCAGTCAAAACTGTCCTCCCTTCATCCAAGTTTATACACTTTGACGAACATAACAGTTGGATTTCTTGTTGATGTGTCAAACAGTTCTCGTCCTAAATATGCATGATATATTTGCCTTTACAGTGACTACAATAAATACGAAATGAATGGACTGACAAAAAGTTATTTCAAAAAACAAAAAAATTATAAAGCATTATATTTTCTCTTATATAAGGGTATTTAAACGGAAAAGTAAATAGGTGATAATGGTGAATGGAAATAGGAGATAATGGTAAATGGGAATAGGAGATAATGGTGAATGGAAATAGGAGATAATGGTGAATGGAAAAAGGTGATAATGGTGAATGGAAATAGGAGATAATGGTGAGTGGAAATAGGAGATAATGGTGAATGGAAATAGGAGATAATGGTGAATAGAAATAGATGATATAGGAGATAATGGTGAATGGATGCTTTACGTCTAGCGGTAAAAAATACATGCATATAATTAGATAATCAGGACGATAATATTTGTATATAATATGAAAACACTAGGTCTGATTTTCAACGTGCTAGCTCATGCACACAGTAACAGTTCTTAGGAGAGCATGTCAACTCTCCCGGTATCATCATTCTGACTCCGAGCCAACCAGTCCTAAATCTTACTTGTAAGTGAAGTTTGCTTAGGCGGAAAAGAAGCAAGCGTTTTAAGGTCTTTTGTGTCATAAATTGATACTCCATATCCTGTCTTTTCTGTAATACACCTAAGTATGATCATATGCATATAGAATTAACAAAGAAAGATGTTTCATTACTATCGCAGTTTTGATTAAATCTTTTCATTTATAGGTTCATATACAACTATTGCAAGAAATTGGCAATATTATACACGTCTATTTGGTTCATTTTATATAATAATCTATAACTCTTTCAGCCTCACGAATTCCTGAAGACCTTGCGCCGTGTGTTGTTGAAAAGTACCGTTCATCTGTTGCTTCTCCTGCAAAGCACACGGTTGGTTTCCCATCATTATATAAAGGTTCAGCTATATGTTTAATGTTAGATGACTGTGAATGAACAGCAAAATAACTGTAAGACCCAAGAGTAAAAGGATTTAAACACCAACATGACCTCTTGATACCAGTTGGACTGATATTAGTTTTCTTTGTGAATTTGTGCAGAATATATTTACATGTTTCTAATACGATAGAATCCGACAACGTTTCAATATATTCTGCAGCGTCTCCGTGTATCCATGCAACTAATACATCTGGATTGTTAAGGACCTCATCGAAAGCAAATATTGACCTATACCATTGACCACTATCAAAACTATCTAGCTTCTGCTTCCAGGCAAGTTTTATTCCTCCTTCGCCTTTACTCCAGAATGGTTTGTCAAAAAATAGAAATATTTTGTTTACTTTTCCAAATCCCATTCTGTTGACTGATTCCATTTTTTCTACAGGCAATGAAGGTGTGAACAGGTCATGAAGATGGGCTTTCAGATAACCAAGAGAACATGTAAGTATCACGTGGTCTGCTAAATATTTGTCGTCTGCTGCATTACTATTACAACAAACTTTCACCTTACCGGACGAATTGCAGTAGTCAATTGACTTAACAATCTTTTCAAAATATACTGGTATGCCTTTCATATCTGCTGTAAGGGTTCGCAGAATTTCACAAAAGCCAGGTGGAATCTTAACGTTTCCACCAGGAATGTTTTCAAATAATCCAATTAGATTCAATGATACTTTCTCTAAATAATCACCTTCATGAAATCCCAAATAATTTATCATACAGTTAAACGCCGCCTTAACCAAATCCTGATCCTCGAGTTCAAATTCATTCAGGGCGGTTTCCAAACTACTTCCCATAAATTCAGATTGACTAACTTGTATATCCGTTTTGTGTAAAAATGTATTCAGCATGTCCTCAATATTGCAAAATATTTCCCAAGCTTTTTCTATTAATGGTTTAGGAATGATTGACCCGTCTTCAGTACACCAATGACCTTCAATCCTGAAACATAATTACGAATGACTTCTGCTATTGTGCGCAATACTAATACTACCCTAGCATATGACAATCTAAGAAAAAAAACCGACAGATAAGAAAATATAGCACATTTTCACATGCCCATATAAAAAGAGAATAAAATACGAAAAATGCAGTATCTAATCTACGCAAATTACAAATTTAAATGTAGAGTACCAGCACTGCAGAATATAATCTATGCATACACACAATGCATTAACTAATTATGCAGTTAAAGCAAGTTTGAGTTAACATCAGAATATTATATATTGTGCTCGTGTTATTCAGTGTTATTAAAGTGCTAAACATTATAAAATAAAGTGGTGCTGTAGTGACAACACAGTGATCTGTTAATGAACTACATCTCACCTGTCAAGGAAAACATATGGTTCCATGATCAATCCTTTCTCTTTGGCAAGTGTATACATGGAATTTTCTTTGCCAGTCCCATGTATCCAGTTCGCACCAAGTTCTATAATACCATCTCCGAACTCTACTGTATGAATTCTTCCTCCAATTCTGTTAAATATAATCATGTATATTATCAAACACCAGTGAAACAATATACAAATTTACAGAGTGAAATGTCTCCCCAATTCGCCACAAAGACAAAAGAAATCATGTAGCTGAAATACGTTTCGCTGAAATACATCTTTTTAACATTCGTTATTTCTTGCGATGATATTTCAAAATGGTTTGTGCGCCTGAAAAACTGTGACAGAATTGAATGTATTAAGTCATAAATTAATAAATAACCGATGCATATTAATTCAAACACGTTGCAGAATCAGATACATATTTTATACATTATAGATGTCCTTCGTTGTTAAGGTAGCCATTACTAAAATCTTAGTATACAGTAGTTCAATAAAATTTCACCTAACATAAAGTAAAATACTACATGTTTGAACTGTGGGTACTGTAAAAGAGCAGAACCATTCTAATAAAAATATATGAGGTACCCAACGACAGTTGATAGTATAACAGGCTTGGCGTGTTGCTGAGGAAAAAATCCAACAGAAATGTGCTACCGACAGTTGGGCACGTGGGTGCACGGACGAGAGTCGAAGATAGGAGTGTCTAGGATGAACATCTAGTGTCTGCTCTCTAACAGATTACAAAATCCTCCAAAAATGATTTTCTGATAGAAATGTGTTTACTGGTTTAGGAAAATTTCAAATAGGGGATGAATGTCTAATCCTTTCTCTCTTATACATATTAGAATATCCCCCAAAAATGATTTCCATCATGATAAAATAAAGAACCTGCAACGTTATAATGCACTGAACAATCATACAGGCTCTGATAGAAATGTATGCACTGGTTTAGTAATATAATTCTAATAGGAATGTCTATTTCCTGAAAGTTCCCAAGTGATGTCTAAGTTTGAGGAAATGACTCGACAGGTGTAAAGGATGAGTTTTATGATGATGTCTATTTATATACTTGTCATAAGAATTCTGACAAAGGAAGTAGTATTCTGTTGACTCTGTTGTTTCTATTGTCTAATGAACATTAAAAATAAGATGGGGTCAAATATATGTTCATCTCTGTTGATAACATTACCACTAGTAGCAAGATTTAAGTCTGAAACGGTCATTTTGGTCTGATCAAGTCTTAATCGCCTTGATTTACTGCTAGGGAAAAACGTTAAGACCGGTTTAGACTTTCAGACTCTGTTCCGATATATCGTGTTCAGTCAGATCAGTCGGGTCAAGATAAACAAGACAGATTCTTCTAGCGTTCAAATAAGACTTGATTAGATCACGTTCAGATAAAATAAGACCAAAGGTAAAAAATCTGTTTAGTTGCTGTAAGATCGTGTTCAGTCGTGTTAAGATTTTAAATATTTTAAATAAAACGAGCGACACTTTATCTGTGTTTATCAGGGGTTACTCCACTTTATGAATAAAATCGGCATAGCTAGGAGGATATTCTTTTGTGGTCTTTTAATGTAATACTGTATATCTATTTCATTAAATAACGTTTGCAAACGTACAATTCATTTTTTCCCGATAGAATTTTTAACATTTAATTGGTTATATAAGAAAAGATTAATTGTCTTAACCGGGAAATGTGTTAGTCATTAAAACTTTGCAGTCGTGCTTTCTGACATAAAGTAGTCCTGTATTTATTCATTCCGCCCGTAAAGATATAATGATAAGTAATATATCCCAAAGATGTTCTGAAATTTTCTTAAACATTTTTTGTTTCTAATGTAAAATAATAGTTCTGATCCATATAAAATTTGTCAAGAAAAATATATTCTAAGTATCTAATTTACTTTAAATTTTTAAATATTATATAGATGACAGTTGCTTGGTGAAAGTTATTTACATTTCAATAAACGGATTATCTAAGCAGTCAACCGAAACGGGTTGTCATAAACTATCTAAATAATTACCCATGCAACGCTTATGATGTTTTATCTATGGACGTAAAATGAATAAAGTTCCATGTTTTATCTTATATAAGGATTTACCGGGTAAAATTATTACATTGAAAAATAAAACATTATTTTTTCAAAAAAAATGCAACAAGAATAAAGAATATTTTAAGAATTTAGTTGACAGTTTATATTTACCATTAGGTACCTATAAAGACCGATTTCGATACCTCTCTTGATTTTTTTTTCATCATCAAGTTTTTTTTAGCAAGAACTAATACAAGAATAAATCATATAGAAAAATATCAAACAACGATTGATAAAATCTTGTGTACGGTTTATATTTCTGTTTCGTATCAGATTTTTTTTATAACACCAGCGTTACTTCTCATTTAAAAAACAGTGAGATGCTTACTTGCTTTTTCGAAATTGACCAAAAAGCTATAGAATAACATAGCGAAATGACTGTACTTATAGATTATACCTTTGTTTTTCCATTTTGAATTGTTTTACACTAGTCATTTTGGGGACCCTTATAGCTTGCTGTTCGGTGTGAGCCAAAGCTCCGTGTTGATGCCGTATTTTTAATCTATAATTGTTTTATACTTTGTAACTTGGATGGAGATGATTATTTGGCACACATACCACATCTTCTTATTTATATTAACCGGGAGCAGTTTATAATATTTTCATTTCGATAAAAAGAAATATGCAATTCAGTAAATCAAATCGATTTGTACCATATTGTTACATTCAAAAGTCTTTAACTGAAGTAAATGATTGATAGAAATACATTATTTGTATTGCATCGCTCCTAAAATAATGTCCAGTGTCAAATATTACACATCGATGATCACTTAGATGTTCAACTGATTCAACCAAAAATTAAACTTAGGACTAGGATCAAATGCAATTCATTACGTTACAATTGTATCCAATATTAATATTGTTATAACATTCAGTCGAGGAAAAGACACATGTGACATTGATATGCATTGGTTTGTTCTAGCCTGGTACGGCGAGCGCGTGTCGACAAAAAAGGTCATGTTAACAAGAGAACAATTGTTGTGAATCAGAGCCAAATTGACCTTTGTTCCAACTTTACTCATAAATAATGCGTGCTTGTGGACAAAAGGTCACAGACGAAAGGTCACAATTCAGTTTCTGAGACTATTTTCTTTGAAAAAGAGAAACTACTTATTTAAAAAAATATATTTTGTATGTATCTTGAACTATTGTATATATAAACCAACTCTGTAAACAAATGTATTAAATGAACAAATAATTGTTTAGTAAACAAACTATCAAAGTGGATTGGTACCTAAACAGCTTCATGGTGCTAAGAAATATTATATCATTTGCATGATTAAAATTTAATAAATCTTCATTTACCAAGGCTAATGAACAATTTCATAAACTGTAAAAAGAATATATGTAATACAAAGTAATTTTTCAAGATATTTCTCTTACATACTTAAACAATTGTCACTTCCTGTCCTGTGACTTTTTGTCCTGTGACTTTTCAGTGTTCGCTTACTGTTAAGAATAGGACCTCCCTTACTAATGGAGAGAAAGCTGTCGGGACTACCAATCCTAATTGTTAGAGAGAATAAAAAGTACATCAGTCATTCTCAATTTTATATGTTTTGCGTAAAACAAAACGGTTTTAAATGTTGAATTTAAGGAATGCTCGGATTTAAAAAAATAAATCTTTTTCGTTTGCTTTTCGTTGAAATCATCCTGAATATTATGTAATATTGTACGCTGAACATTCAACGATCATGGCCAAGCATGTGTTCTTCAAAATGCAATCTGTAGAAGAAAAAACACGGTTTTAAATCATGTACATTGGAAATCAAGAATCGTGTGTCGTGTTCGACCTATAATCCTTTATTAAATAGTCGAAATTGACTATTAATATATAGTTTTGTTTTGCACCTACGTAACTCTATATATGCATGTTTTTGCCACTTTGCTTGGAAAAATTATCATATATCTTAATTCTCTTTCAATAACATTTCCTTATTCAATTTGCTACTCGTCTACCAAAAAAAAAATAGATATTGTTTCATTTTTGCCATTTTGGTTATAATAAGTTCTTGGTAGATGTATGTCCTTTATGATCTCTCAGGTAAATATCAAAAATGAGTCCTGAGTTTTGACGGTTGTGAATTAAGGATTAGTTACTTTATGGAACACTTATTTCCTTGGATGGTAGTACAAACTTGTATTTTATCCTTTAAAGTTAGTATGCCTGTTTAATAATTTACAGTTTTAAGGAGAATTCTTCGTCTTTTGCAAATAGATGAAGAATAAAATGAAAATTTGCTTTCGATTGCATTCAGGCAGAGAGAAATATGTTTTGTTATATTTCAGACGATTTTTAGTACGGATATTAAACTATAATTCTTAATCTCTTCCAATTTACAAATATAATTTGGTATTGTTTTTTCTGCAAATGGTAGATGAAACTTGTATGTTCTAACTTTTTCAGAGGTCTGTGAAATCTTGAAAATATGACGTTCCCCGAAATCACAAGTCGCTATATAGAATGCTTGTAAAATTCAGAAACTTGCAGTACGCTCATATTTAATACTTTTCTGTTAAAAAAGAAAGTGTAAAAATTAGAAGGCGAAAACGGGAAAAGGGGAGGGTTGTTACACGAACACTTTCTTCGCAATTTAATTCTAAACGAATAGTGATTATCTAACTTTTTGTTCAAATATCGAATACACAATCAAATCTCTAACTTATCCACGCTTGCAATAACCTTTTTATTGACAGGTTTCTGCTGGCATTTGATTGGACAACAGTTTAATGTAGGCGTGACAATCTATCACATTTATCCAATCAGCTGTCTTGTTAAACAAACCTGTGTGCGATGACCCACTGTCCACATAGTTTAGTTTAGAGAGTTTAGTAGTTTTTTTTATAATGAATTGATCATCAAAAGGACGTTGTTGCTATTGTTGGCCAGGGACTTTCTATACTAATGAAAAAGTCCTTGTGTGTGCTTGTCAGATAGAAATAGACAACGCTTATATTTAAGAATAAAAAAAGTGATGAAAAAGAAATATTACTATGCATTGGATGGATATTAAGACCATGGAAGTACTATATTGAATATAGTACT